TACAGTTTGTGAGGATTACACGATCCACCGAGAGGCACAGCAAAGTGCTGCCTCATCGCGCATCTCCTCCATGTATTTGAACGGGACATACGGAAATTCTGCTATTCTTTACTTCAACATCGGATTCGAACGGCAAAAGGGCCTACAACACACACCAGCCGACAAATATTAACATTTATTATATTTTATGGTTAACTTTTTTTTTCTTTTCAAGATTGACAGGGGAGGCTCTGCCTCACCTGCCTCCCCTGACCGCACGTCACTGGTTAAGAGTCAACTCAGGCTAAACATGAACTTAAAGCTCAGAAATGAGTTAGCGATGTGAATGCTGGGGAACCACAAAGGTTGTGATTTCTGTAACGGACAACTCCCAGGGTGCAGTGGTTGACTGTCAACAGATACAGAGCAGAGTGTGGCACGCAAATAGCACATCAAGGAGGGAGTATGTCTGTGTAGGAGTGCAGTGCTGCCTGCTTTGAGGATATCATTAACTCAAACACATCAGCAAACATTAGTACTCTGAGGAGCGAAACACAGCCTTCTGCAAATGCCAGTTGGTGATATAGATGGCCAGTGTTCAAGATCAAGTTTGGGGAAGGCAGAAGTAAGTATTTCCATGTGATTTTCAAGTGTTTATGAACACACAAGTGCTGTGGCTTAAAGCATGAATAACGGACAAAAGACAGACGGCGTATATACAACGTTGTAAATACCAGTTCATATTCTCACCTGGCAGGTCAGAAAAGAGTAGGATGCACTCATTGAAGCCATTAGCCAGAAGACGATCCCTGAGCTGCTGCAATATGGACACGCCGATACAGAAGGGGAAAGAGGAGTTACCCAGCAGCAGCGTGTCCCACAGGTGGAAAATCTTGTGCAGTGGAAAAACATCTATATGGTGGGTACAGAAATAAACACAACAAAGAAAATATTGTATAAAATGACTGAATACATGAGTGCCTCACAAGACAAATCCCTTGAAAGATGCACAATAGAATCCTATAAGCGGGACAATAGCATGCAACATGCACAGAGTGAGAAATGGGGGCTCGGTACATAATGAGCACAATTTGCATGTGCATAGCACATTTACTTAACATGGCTCTGTGGCTTTACAATGGAAGCTCAATAAACAAAACTGTGTATTGGCAAGATTGGCTGGAAGGATATGTGATGTGGGGGAGGCAGCTGGGAAAATGGTTTTAAGTGAGTGGTGTTGTGGGAAAATGACAGGAAGAACATCAGTGGGTTGAGAAGCTTTGGAGCCAGGAGAGATTATTTCAAGTCAAATAAGACCACATCCCGATAATATGTCCCACTGCAGTTATTATTTCAATCATAGTACTATCTGTATATGAAAAGTTAATATTTCCTCCCTATTGAGATTTATGCATGAAAACCAGTAGGTCCACCTGTTTGTATCATACTAGGGTGTGTTAATGTGGATGCTCAACAGTAGATGTGTGGCTAGGCAGAGCGTGAGACTGCGGTGAGGCAGGCTGAGAGAGCGCGAGTGCTAAGAAAAGGCCTCGGAGGGTCCACACCACATTAGCAGTCAGCTGAGCAGACTAGTGCATGTGAGTGACAGGCAATGCGTCTGGGTGTGTGTATGTGTGACTGTGTGTGAATGGAAGATGACCCTCCAACCTTGTCTCATATTGGATTGGGGACATTAGCAGTCAGAGGGGCACACCTCCTGAATACTGGACTCACACACTGCCTCAGGGGGAGGATAAGGGCTAAAAGGGTCACACCTCACGCTCTCCACACCAGGAGTTTTCTCTAGTGAGGATGTGTGTGTTTCACTGAAGAATGAAATATCCCAGTTCAAAGCACAGGGTTGAGGATAAATGGAGTACATCCAAATGAATTTGGCCACAATTATTTAAAATCACAGCTTGTATTATGTCTGCAGAGTATCAAAGTACTATCAAAAATTATAGACTAAAGGGCAGAAAACCTATTCAAGCCATTGCACCGTATGATGGGACCGCGCCTAGAAAATGTTACTCACACAAAAGTAAATTTGTAACAGTGACCCGTAACCCCTGTTAATATGTTCATAGTTCCAACTGTGCTCAGTGGCAAGATAAAAGCGTAATGCTGCCATCAACTGACAAACTGCATGTTGAGAACAAGCCAAAATAAAACCTTTATGTACATCTCATGTAGCATAGACTTGTACAGGATGCTAACAGTTAGGCTTCCAGTATGTGTAATATTTCTTGTAGAGGTCCGAGCGTTGAAAACATTTTGTTAAAACTCTTATTCAGCATTTGTGTTAAGCCAAATACTTAATCTCAGCTGGCATGCACCCAAAACATACAAAATTATCTTCCTGTTGGCAATATACTAGAAATGACAAACTTGTTATAACTTAAGTTGTTACATAAATGTCCATAAAGAGGGGGATAACAACTTATAAAAATACATCATGTCCTCCTCAAGGTGCTCTGGGTAAGGAAAGCTTGCCAATGAAGCATATTTTATAAGGTGTCACAGTAAATCCATATTTATAAGGCTTTTTTCTTTTACCATCCTGGAATTGAGCATTTTGTGTGCTACAACCTACCCATGGATTGAGATGTGCTTTATTATTATTCTTCAAATATCATCTCAAAAATCTTTTCATGAACTGCAGGTTAAAATACATGAATTCTGTTCTTTCAGCTAACTCTGAAATCATAACAATATAACCAATATTTATGAAACTGTGATGTGATGACATCTGTCCCAACACCTACAATGGCTTATATACTATCTTTTATTAAATATCTCAAGCACATTTGAGTGTTATATTTTTACTTTGCTGCATTGAGAGTCTTACTGAGTCGCTGTGGTGCAGACGGGCCCACAGGGAGCGCTATAGTAAGCTTGTGAAGTCTACAGCTCAGTTCCACCAGTCTGTTTAGTCACAGAGTCACAGCGACATGACACTTGGTGCAGACCTGTACCAGCATACAAAAGACCTTTACCTTTTTAAAAACTACTGTATAATGTTTGTGGTTACCTGGTTTTCACATGTGTTCCTACACAGAAGTCACTGCTGTGAGTAGTTATCAGCATAAAACTGCATAAATATTATAAACCTCAGATCAATAAAGATGGGCTGGTGAAAATCTGAGGCAGTATAGGACTGAGCAGTTGAGTCCTTTCCCTTTGGGACTGGAATGAATTAGCAGCTGGAATAAAGGTCACCTAGCAAGCACACACAAAAACCTGTCCATACTGGAGCCACTGACCTTTTCAGGCTCTTTTATTGATACTCTAATTGATGCAGACTCAAAACATCTTCTAAAAGTTTTGGATCATGCTCAGGGCACCAACGCATCCACAATGAGAGTACAAAGAAAAGCTACTTACGTGTAAACATAGTCAGGAACCATGGAATAGCATAAAGCTGCATGGAAAAGAAAAAAAATAGAACAAGATACAGGCATGTGTATGAGATAATGCGGCATTCGTTTGTGCGTACAATTCAGTATGTCAAAACAAATTGCAAGGAGCTCAAATGAAATGAATGAGCTGATTTCTCACTAGAAAAATTCTAGTCTTTAAGAAAAGCAGCACACATGGCTGCACATCTCTACAGCCTCTTAGAAACAGAGATGGCAATAAAGAGCAGACTGCTGAGTTTGGTTATTAGCCGGGGGGAGAAAGCTAACAGTGAATCTCATTATACCAATCTTGTCACCCCTCCTTTCCTCTCCTATTTCACTCTCTCCATTCCACACTTCCCCAGAAGGAAATGCATAAAATTGAGATTAAAGAGACTGCATTCACATTCACATATTAACACACACACACACACACACACACACTCCACCATTAACCACCTGTTCTAACACCTGCAAATGCCTGGCCACTGTTGCTCTAGCTGGTTCTGGATTGGAACAGAGTCTGCAGGAATACTGGAGCTTATCTCAGCCAGTTAATTGATAGCTAATTACAGGGGAGCTGGTGACTGCTCAGTGGACCACTTTTGTGCCCATGAGTGAAGAGCAGGAAAGAGAGCCGCTGCACTCTGATTCTCAACCTCAATCTCAACAGCTCGGCAGCATGACAGCAGGTTCAGCCAGATTGGCTTAGTGTAGGTGTAAATGGCAGACCCAGGAGAGGAGATGCAGCCATATTGAACATAGCCTGAATTAAACCACGGGCTATGCAAACTGACACTCTGCCTAAGGTTTTGCTGGAGCAGAGACCTTAAACACCACAGCATTTCCAAAGAGTACTTGTGGTTTTGCATGCTTGCACAAGCTTTGTCTTTTTCAGAAAAGCTGTATTAAGCCGTGTTTTGGATATATGGGAAATTGAATCCATTTCATACTGCACTGACATTTGGTCTTTTAGGGGATGATGGATTTATTGCCTCAGTAAAACAACAGTTCAGTGTGTTCTCTAAAGTTCACAGAGGAAAAGGGGATTTATGATCTGTACAGTCTCATTACTGGGATTGATATCAAGCATGAAAGCAGTATCAACAAAGCCTGTCTCAATATTATGTTGGCCTAACAATAAAAACAAGACTCCCTTGAAAGGCAAGTCAGTGCTGGTAGTACAGCACATGAAGTAAATGTTAACTCAGCAATATAAGAGCATGTTCTTCTTTGTAGAGCCAAGAATCACAACTGGACATCTCCAAGGTAAGACTTTGTTTACAAAAAAAATAATAGTAATAATAACCTTTTCCCTATGCACTTTATATTATGACAATCATCAAGCACACTCAGGTGCTTTACTTGCCCAACTTTAAAAAAGTAACTGCTCTGTCAGAAACTGCAAGAAAGAGGCTGAAGGACCCCACTTTTCACTGGGTAATGTTCCAGAGGCTGGTCCACAGGTGACACATTCATCAGCACGCTAACTGAAAGCCCAGAGAGACAGAATCGACTTTAACCTTGTCACTGTCTGAGCAGAAGTGTGGGAAGGAACGTGAAGGGCAGGAGGACGTGGCTCAGAGTAAGAGAAATAAAGTAAACCTGGCAGAGGACAATCATTAAGTGTGCCTGCCAGACATTAGTCGCTGTATAAATCATCACCAGTGGACCTAAGGGAGAACTTGTCCCTGGCCACAAATTTTGGAAAGGACAATGTGGAACAAAAAATGTCATTGACAATGAAAAGATATACATGGTGATATATGGATGGTCATTTCTTTTGCCCCTGGTGTAGAGCAAGAAAGAGGAATCATTTCTTAGTATCTTGGACTTCCCATTAAAGTTAAACGTGCAATAAAAGATGAATGTTGTTATCCTACTGCTGTTTATTATCATCAGTTTGCCAGAGCACACTTGGAAACTTACATCTGGGATGAAGCCAATCTCATTTAGATGGTTGCTTAGCTCTGGGTCATGGAAGGCAATCATTTGGGAGAAGACAGTCAAGTACTCTGAAACACAGACAGAGGTGTGAAAGGTCTACACAAAAGCTAGGGTGCAATTTGTGTGCTAAAACCTAAAAAACAGAGTGCAAGCAGTATTGCTGAATACATGAACTGACATCATAAATGATTGGATTTAGTTTGGCAGTCATGTAATGATGTCAGATAGTTTTAGATGGTGTATACAGCATAAATGAGTACTACACCTCAACATACAGTAAAGATACATTTATATCTCTAAAAGATTACCATTACAACTGATTGAAAGATGACAAAATAGAAATGTATTAAACATACGCTTAATAACAACCTAAGAAAATTTGTCATCAATAACTTAAATAAATAAATTAGGCAGCTTTGCTCATAGAGGATTGCAAAAATGAGTACACCTTTGATATAAAAAAAAAAAGCAAATATAAAATATAAAAAAAAGTTATGTTCTAGTTATTAGTATGACGTCCATTATTTTTAAGTATGGCACTGAGTTTTCTTGGCACCCAGTGTAGTTCAAGACATATAGCCAGATCAATCCCTTCCACTGCAGGAGGATGACCTCCTCGAGCGCCTTGGTGTTTGAGTGCTCCTCACAGGTGCTCGACTGAGGAGTTGAGGTCAGGTGACACTCTTGGCCTGTGCACCCGGGCCACCTTGTTCTTCCAAATGCAGCAGTGACCTTGGGCAAATTGTGTACAATCACTGTCATGTTTAATAGGTGCCCGATGACCCAGGTAATGAAAGAGGATAGCACAGTCTCCTAAAAAAAATTTGCAGGAGTGAATTTGTGATGCTCATCATGATCAGTGACGTACAAATCACCCACAGCATTAGTACGCAGACATCCCCGCATGAAAAAAACTCCTTACCCTTTTTAATATGGGCCTTGGCAAACTCTAAACTGGCTTTCTAGTGCTTGGACTCCAGCAGTAGCTTTTTGCGTGGACAACAACCATGCACTCCACTTCTATGCTGGGTACTGTATCTCTTACAGTGTGAGATGAAAGTCAGTCCAGTTTGGCATTCCACAGCTTTGGCCAGCTCTGAAGCACTCTTTGTGACTGTCCTGCACAGCTTAGGTAGCTAGTCACAAGTCCACTCTTTTTGAATTTCTGTCCTAACTTTGCTTATTCTCTTTAATTGTTGTCCTCTCTTGTGCAATAAAATTATTTTCTTTCTCAGGTCTCCAGACAGTTTTCTTCTGATTAGTGTCAAGAAGGTCAGCACAAAGTATGACAGAGATTTAGCAGATGAACTTTTAATTACCAACCACTTACAGAGCAAATGCATATGCTTATGACCCTTAACTAGCACCAAAAATATTAGTTTTATTTTGTAACTTTCAGTAGGGTTTACTGATTTTCAAACACTGGCTTTTTCTCATTTTGATAAGCAAAACATCTTGTTTAATAATATGTCTTATTTGTAAGGAGAGACATAGTTTTAGCTGTACTATTTATTAGCTTTTGAGAAGGAAATTGTGAAAAAGAATGGCAATGTTCTGACTTTTTTCTATTTTGTGGTTACAGACACACTGCTGATCCACTGTGCGACCAAGAAAACAATTTTTTATTTTTTTTTTTACATGTCAAATTGAGATTCATGTAGCGTAATGCTGTGCTACCACCAGTGTACAAAATACAGGGGGTTTCAGAGTCTCAACGCACTCTGACTGACAGCTCAGGCCCCTTGAAAATCTTAAAATGAAATTTCAGGGGGTCTCAAAAACGTGCCGAATTCTTTTCTATTTGTCTACACAATATGATTTATTTGCGTGTAACTTTATAAAATGGTAATTTTTTAAAATAAAATAAAAATATGTAGGCTTATTGTATTAACTGTTTATGGTAATGTAGCAAAAGTGATCCAGAAACTGACTGTGATCCACGGGAGCATGCAGGCTGTTCGAGACCACTTTAGCTACAGCTGCTTTTCTCGGGATCAAGCCATCATAAAACACAGAAACAGAAATAACTTTTATCCCTGTGGTAGTAGCAAATGTATGTTTTTGTGAAATTTGATCGGAAGGTCGGGCTGACTTTACCTGCTGTCAATAATGTGTGCAACATTGAATGGGATGTTGTTATTTATCCTGGCTCTCAAACTGCTTTCATTTGTTACTTTTGTTAGCTGATATGTAGGTGGAGCGCACAGCAGCATTCACCACAATGTAATTCACACCCTGACTACCACCATCCTTCACACTGTAAGTCAACAAAAGGGCTCTAACCAGACAGATAAACAGCAGTTACCTCTTCAGGGCATCTATAATACCGGTGGAAAGAAATGATTCTAGCCATATACGTGACATAGTTCAAGTGGTGCAAGCTGTAGCTGGTTATCAGTCTCGTAGGAATGTCCTGTGACACTTCTCTACAGGCTTTTGCAGTTTCATTTGTTTCTATATCTCTAAATGATGTGGCTCAGCTGCAAACTCCATTAAGACAGGATGAAATTAGTTTTCACAGCTTTGGACCAACATGGAGCCGAAATTTAATCAACACTGAGCCGACAGCCTGATGCTCTGTGGCCGTCAATGATAATTTGTTTTTGAACTTAGCTGAACGCTCTAAACATGTTTAATAGTTATTACTTAACATGCAGTACCAGTTGACTACATTAACTCAACACACTCAATGTCTGAAGTGGAAACAAACAGTATAGAAAAATGACACAGAGTTTGTAATTTATATTATAACATAGTAGAGCGGTACAACTTCTCCACACATAACAAGTGATTATCCTAGTATATCTTACCTTGGATGACATGAGAGTTGTCCTTAAGGAAGAAGTTGTACAAATATTTGGGAATGAAGGCAGACATGCAGGCGTACGCCAGGGCTGTGAAGAGCAGGACATAAGAATGAAAGGAAGCCAAAAGAAAAAGCAGAAGGTAGAGGTGAAGACAGCAGTGAGCTAGTTCAGAAGTTCAGATCAAAATTCTTACCTTCATTGTTGAAATTCAAGTAAAGAAATGGAGCACAAAGTGAATCCAACCCTGAAATAAAACAGAAAATATAAACTGTATAACTTAATTGTTGGTTCAGACTGTTGTACTTACTGTAAGGGCAAGGCAGGGAGTTTACAATCTATGACATGACCACCATCTAGTGTTCAGCCATGTTAGGTACAATAAGGAATAGTGTAAAGTAAAAGTGACTGACCCTGCCAGTAGACCAGGTCAGGGTGGGATACCACCCAAGCTTTCAACACACGTCTGAACTTGATGTGGCCCTGAGGAGACGACAGCAGCTCATCATACTGGTGGCAACGTGGGATGTCCACCTCGATCTAATAACATGCACCAAAAACACACACAGACAAATGGATAAAGCAAAATTCAATTAAGAAAATGAGTCAACCCTTTACTGCTAGTGTTAAACAGTCAAGTTACCTGTCTGTCAGTTGGTATAGGAGTGTCCTTGTCTATGCTCTCATATTTGGCTTGAATGTCACCCTGTGTGAAATAAGAAAGATAAATGCAAAACAAACTGAAAACTGCACCTTTTCTCAACACAGGGCTACCGTTTCTCTTGTACCTCAACACCTAGCAGTGCAGCCCATGCCAGCCCTCGAACAAGAGGAGGAATATCCACTCTGGCCTCTTTCCACAACAGGTTCTTCTTGTAAGGATAGGCCTGAAGCCACCAAACATTAAACAGAGAATAAATTACACAACTCTAATTCCAAAATATGTGAGCTGAACCAGTCACCAGACTGTGAAGTGCAGCATCCAATGTTTGCGTGACTTAAAAGTGTGTACATAAGTGTGTATGAATCTGTATTGGGCCCAGACCTTGAGCAGCCTGTCAAAGAGGATGATGCGGATGAGCTGGTACTCGGTGTCTCTCTCTCGGATGATGAGTGGCAGTGTGACGGTGGATGACAGCTCATTACTGCTGTTGGACTGGGGCAGACTTGACTGTCTGAAGGGGGGAAATGTAAAGGGCATTACCCGAGCCAAAATAAATGTGTGATGTGAAACAGATAATGTGAAAAATAGTAACAGCGGAGGAGAGGATGACAGCAGTGGGTTCAGGATAAAGACTGCTTACTCATCTTCCAGTAGAGGGTAATAGGCTTCTCCCGCTACATCCTTCAATCTCTGGAAAGTCAGAGAAAACCCATCTTAAAAACACTTAATATGCATTAAAAATATTAGGGGTAGGTTCTGGTAGCCACATGAAACTCGTTACAGCATTGCAAAATACCCAGATGGCTCAACAGTGTTACTATTGTTTGATATCCACATTTTGTGTTCAAAAACAAAGATACATTTTATAAACTTACTGTAACTGTACAAAAATTGCATTGTTAACACACAGTTCTGGCAACAAGTATGACAAACAAGTACTTATTAATACAAATATGTGCTGCGTTGCTCAAGTTTGCCTTTCTCGCTGTAACAAATTGTGTTAAAGACCTGTTGAGTTATTTGGATGTAGATTATTTCACTTTGATAATTAGTTTTAGGGCTCAATCAATCAATCATTTGAGCCTATAAACATCAGAAAAGAATGACAAATATCCATGGCAACATCTTCAACAACCCAAAGATATGCAGTTTACGATATGTCAAGACAATGAACAGCATCAAATGATCACGTGTATCAATTCTCAACCTTATGTGTGATACATGAATTTACACAATAGTGTACACAAACACTTTTCTGTAGACTTACATTTCTGAGTTGGCACAGGGACAGTGTTACTGTTGTGTCATCTAGCAAGAAACTCCGATCCCTGCCCTGCCCAAATGACTCCCCATCTTCCAGGACAAAACTAACAAACAACAGCAAATAAACAAAAAAAAATAAGAAAGAGACATGTTACTACATCTGTAAACTGTATAACCTTAAGTAGCAAATGCATCTGTCGGTGCACGCATGTGTTTATGTGTGCAAGTGATGTACTTAGGCAGTGTGCAAATCGGAGGTTTGGACTGTATGATCTCCTTATTGATCAGCTCCTTCTCCAGGTCTCCCCCTGCTAGGCACCACAGATGGTACACCTCATCTATGGCCCGCTCTGACAGGTAGTCTTCATCGTCATCTAATAGCACACACAAAAAACAATTAACACCACCTCATAGACACTACATACTATGGCTTGCTTATTTAAAGCCACCTCAAAATAATCAATTCAGCTTAAAAAACTGACATTTTGAAGTGACTGGTGTGTATACTGTGTATCATTGTCAGTTTGTGCTTAAGTCTGCGTGCAGTGTGTGTAGCTGGGGCAGACTTTTGCAAAGGTCGCTGATGTCCTCTGGGAGCCCCAGATGTGCACAGCGCAGAGAAGACGAGAACAGGCTAACAGGCTTCTGGAAGGGTGTATAAAGGCAGGAGACCCCACTGAACACGCAGTCTCCCAGCAGCTCTGCAGGGGTCGGTCTGGAGGATACACACACAAAGGCTTAAATGGCGTAACAGCGCAAGTTCCATAAATACAGAGTGCGCTTGAAGTTGTATTTATTTTTTAACTCAGAAATTATGTTAAATCTTGGCATAAAAAGTCTTACAACCTAAATGGCCAAAGTCCTCCATCATGATATGATACCAGACAGAGAGTGTATTTACCTTTTGGATGGAAGAAAGGTCAAGCATTTCCTTAATAACTCCAGAACATTCTCAGGCAGGTCCTGTATAAAAATGACTTCATTAGCTACAGTACACACAACACAGACAGGTCCCAACTTAAACTTCATGTTTTTGTTAAACAAAAGTGTATCAGGTCAGAAGGAAGTATCCTCCTACAGTGGAAAGTCTGTGCACGTTACAAAGACTGAAGTGCTATTTTTGTACCATAATACTATGATGCCCATAATGTGATCTAAATTTCCAGTTAAAAAAACAAGACATTAAAATCATTATTTCTTAAAAATATCTTCATATATACAGTATCTTGTTGAGTACGGCTAAGCCAGCCCATTATTCTGACTCTACCTTAATGGTATCGAGGCAACCATGTTCCTCAGCAAGGACAGTGACAATGTCATCCATGCAACCTGAGGATTTAAAACAACATCTCAGTGTAAGCCTGAGTGAGCTTAAGAGCTGTTGCTCGGCACTTAAAATAATTACAACCTTTTAATTTACCTAAGGTTAGAATGAATTTCAGTCTCTCGGTTATAGCAATATTCTGCAACAATCTTCTACCCTGTAACAGATTTGCAAGGTCAGATTTTACGGATAAAATAATCCATACAGCAGGAAATTCAGGCAAAACTCCAACAGCATAAAAACATTATATTAATGTCCTAAATGAAGAGGTTTATGAAGGACTCTTACTGCACACAATTCAAACAGCAACACTCCAAGTGACCAGACATCAGTCTTTGGTCCTGAGGGCAGAGGAGCTTCATCATAAGAAGGGTCACTAGGGTGGAAGGAGCCCTGAGCAATCACCTCTGGAGCAAGATATGATGGGTACCTGAGGTTAAGATCACAGAGCACATTAGCACATTACTTTGTGAGCCTCTAAATAATTTTATTGTAGATACCTCCAGTCATTTAAACTGATTCAACAGCTAGTTGAAAAAATGTCAAAAATATTTAGAGTTCCTAGTGAGCTGTAGTGAATTTGTTATTATGGCCTTTCGCTAAAATTTCTCATGGGCAAATAAATATGTTATTCTCCAAGTTACATAATAACTACATAAAAATTATGCAAAGTTACAACGTTGTTCACATTTTGGTCACTAGGTGATGTACTGTATTTACAGTTACTTCAAACAATCTGCATAGCTGGCTGATAGTTACATTTATGACATTTTGCTATCCAGATGTTTTATTGTTCAGTCTGCAAAAGGATACTACACAGAGATAGTTGGTAGAACAGAAAAGCCTTTGGATTAGGATAAAAGTCCAACAATCTGTTAGAGTTCTTCAACCAGGAAGCTATTTTGATGCCGCAAAACCTGGTTTCTAAGAAAAAGGATGGGATTATTTTGCATCAATGTTACCGTCAATTGCCTTTTTTATTATTTGACTAAAAGCAAACCAATATAAATGAAACTTTCACCCTGAACAGACAGCTCCCATAGTTCAGTTGCACCAAGTGAAGAGTTCCAGAGTAGCACTAATGGACCTTTCTCTGTGATAAATGAGGAGAAGAAGACATACCCAATGGGAAAATCGACGTCGGCTCCATGATCAGTCATGTGATAAAGGCCAAACTTTGCCAGCTTGACATTCCCCTACAGAGAAAAAATCCATCCACATTACTGCATGTAGGTAATCACTTCCTTTTTTTTTTTTTTTTTGCATTCAAGGCATAGTTTAATGGAAACGATACCTTGCAGTCCATGAGCACATTGTGTGCACTGAGGGCTCTGTGCACAATACCATGTTTGTTCATAAACTCTAGGCCTTCAAGTACCTCATAGGCTATCTGCAGCACCTTCTCTGGGCTAACACAAACACAAACAGGACAGTGTGTCACACCATTTTGAAGGTAAGGTGGTGACTGTGTCAGAGAAAAGAAAAGTGAGAATCTATCTTTTCAGCACTTAAATATTTTCAACTCAATAAACAGTAATGTTATGTAAATTGGACAGCAGCCAGTAGATGGCAAGGTTAATGTATACATTTCCCTGCCCATCAAATACAGTATAAATTAATGAAAAAAACACAAAAATTTGACAATTACTGTTCACCAGTCAAAGTGGAGGAAGTAAAGAACACTGGGTTCACATCACATGCACTCTATTGCTGAATAGATCATGAAGATTTGTAATGAAATCTCACCTGGCAGCTTTCCCCTGTTTTTGGAAATCATTTAAACTGCTTTCATAGTGTTCAGCAACAACAATGAGCCGTTCTATAAAGCAAGAAGAAGAAAAAAAAATATGCAAACATTTCTTGATAGTTATTTATAATGTTTAGGTATGTACTGATGCGTTACTTACACAATATAAAGTCAGGTAGAAGCACAAGCTGCATATAAAGCACAGGAAACATGCGTTCCACAAAACAAACGCTCACTTGTATCCTACTATTTTGAAAGTCATACCATGTTTTCCTCTGGTTATGTCCACATAGTGGCAGAGTCTTGGGTGAGTGATGGTCTTGAGGATCTGAAAACGTCCCAAAATTTTGATGGAGTTGGGGGTGAGAGGGAGGCCATTGCTGCCACAGACATCATGTGGAAGAGCTGAGGCAAAGAAAGTGAAAGCCCCAAGCTGTGCATCTTTCAGGGGTTTCATCTGGCCACTGGATGGAAGCACTGATAATAGGCAAATGTTTTCAATATAACATATGAATATTATGTGATAATATTAAAACTATGAATGAGGAGTTCCATCATCAACATGATATAGTATATGAACACGAAATTTCTCAGCTATTCCATTCAATGATAAGTAGGTGGTTAAACACATTAACTGCTTATAGCCAGTTTAGGCAAAGACCATCATTAGACCAGGTGAACACTGCTATTATAATTACAGCATATTTAGACCATATAACTGACATGTACTGTAACTCTGCAAACAAAAAACACTGCGTACGTGTGTGCAGTAATGCTGCAATTATTCCCACTGTGTAAGCTGAGGTTTGAACATACAGTAAGAAACTTACTAGCCCCGGTAGCGAACCATTGATATAATGTGCATTGCCTCCAGAAAATGTCTACTCACGCTTAATGAGAAGGCTGTAAGATCATGTCGACAGAATGAACCTGAAATTATTATTAAAATGCTTTTAAATGAACTGTTTTCCGGCCTCCGCAATGTGATGAGAACAGCTGAGTGAACGTGATCATTGACGTCTTTTTTGTGCGACAAAGCAGTGTACAAAGCATACTTTCGAAGAACAAAACTATAGTTGTGATACTGAAAAATCAATCAAAAATATCTCAAATCCTCAATAGAGTTGTTCTTGAAATAATTTGTTAGTGATGTTAACAACTTAATTTCTCATTATAGTAATTGCATGCAGGCAACGACCGTTGCCGTCTTACATTTCGGCGACTGCCTCCGATCTATAGAACATATGGATAGAGAAGGAAAAGGCGAAAGTACAAGACTGCCTTGTTTCCGGATTGTATAGACATCTGCCCACGGGGGCTTGAATGAGCCTGTTTGGGGCTAACTGCTAATTGCCTTTCTGTTAGCTAGCTTATCCGACGATAGCAATTGTGAAGCCCCCCCGGCGTCCCTTGAAACGTGTTACTGCTCTGAGTCTATGTAAGTTTAAAACCTCTAGGCTTTTTCTTAACGTTACTGCTTTAACTAATCATTGCTGTAATCGTAAGATAAGATGTCAGCAACCAACAGTTAACTTGTAGCTAACTGCTAGCTACGGAAGAGTTAGCTTAAGATGAAGTTTAATTTTTTGACCCACTGTAGTTGCTAACAGGCTGTATGGCTTAAAGTTGCTGATTTAACTGACACGTCAAGTAATCAGTTCTCAATGCAAAGCGGTCTATTCTCTATAATGTACAGTTAAATCTAGTTTAGTGTTAAATACACCTCCGATATGAAATGATTTGATTGTCTAATTTACCTAACGTTAATGTGATTTGTAAATGATTACGTGGTTTGGTGTTAATTGTTTAACTACAAGAAGTAATAACATTTATCATAATAAAAAGGGGCTACAGCCAACGGTTTCAGTTTTTTTTTTTTTGTTGTTGTTAATTTGTAACAAAATTAAGTAATTTGTTTATTTCTTAAGTTGTATATTTTGTTTTGCTACTGTATAAAACAAAGTATAATAATTGTTGTACAATTGTTTGTTGTTTTTTTTATCCATAACTGACTAACATTTGATTATCAAAATTATCATAGACTGATCAGTTAATTAAACAATCCCTTTATTCCACTTCTATGTACAATACATTTGTAGGTTAACAAAATACTTTTTAAATTTCTTGTTTTTATTTTGTTAAATAAATTTTTGCATGTTACATTTGACCATGTGGTACACATGACAGTTTTTGCTTGTTATAATGATTTTAAAATACTAGGCTTACTATAGATAATGAAGACAGCTGATGAATGTAGTATTATGGGGTGAGAGTCTCAGTGTTTCTGTATTGCCAAGGTTTCAACCGAACATCAGGTTATCTGTATTAGCAAAGCATCATATTTTATTTGCTTTTACTTGCCTGCATATTACCTTTTTCATTCTCAACTATTTGCTGGACTTGGTGTTTTGCCAAGTACATAAAAAGAGCAGTTATTTTGGACCCAGCTGTCAAGCATGCCTCTGCATGCTAAATATGAGTAAGATAATTCCATGCATCTTGAAAACCTAACTGATGCTGAGGACTATTCTTCTTTAAAGTGAAAAATGTGTAGGTCCTTTTAATGCCTTCAGGTGGTGCTGACATTCTGCTCTCAATTTTTCCTAATGGTCTAGTTGGCACACAGGTAACGAAGTATCCTCCTACAGTATATTTTAATTGTGGGAATGAAGCATGAAGGGGGGGAAACACGTATCCTGTTGGGTCTGCTCACACACCACCACACCAGAGAAGGCTGCTCGTTAACTGTTAACTGTTAACTGCTAACTTCAGACCTTGTGTTTATTTGTTTCCCTCTGTGACCAGTGTTGTTAAAATCCACGCTGTACTTCCTCCATGCCCCTGCTGATCCCAGGTTATAATATGCTCTTTTCAGAATAGGGAGGACAAGGAGGAGAAGAGGACGGGTTATCGCTTGAGTTGGTTTTGATTCTCACTTGCTCTCTGTCAAATGTTAGAGGGCAAAAATTTGTTAGAGCCGCTTTAATTTGAAAACGGATGCACAGTAGACAAATTGTTCGTAGTAAGTGTTGAGAACTACATGACTAAGACACTCAGTCATGCTGTTTTTCTTAGTGATAAGAGTGGATGTAGTAGATGTGTTCTGCAAGATGAGCACCTGCTGTTTTGGTTTGTAGTGCAGTTAACCTGCTAAATTTATAGGGCTGAAAACCAGGAGAAGAATTAAAGATGTTTTACTACCATAAAGTGAAGATAGGTAAATTGAGCAGGCTGAAGGCTGATGAAAGCCTATGTCAAAGTAACATGGTTAACGCATTTGGTAATTTCCATCTAAAATCCAATGCTGAAATTACCCCATCATGTCTATATGCTGCAGACCATGCTTCAGCCCCGGGACCTGTTTTCAGAGGTTATCCATATGAGATCAGTCTTTTTTTTTTTGTGGCTCTTTAATACTCCACCACTGGTCCTGTTTAAATCATTTCAGTTTCTCAAAAACAAAGCTTTGATCCTTGATTTTATCAGCTCCAGCTCTTTTGTGTTTCCAATTTCCTCAAACCCCAACAGTTTGTTTTCATCTCGGGCCAGCTTTTGTTTTCCAGCGCCTCCCTGTATTATGTGTAAGAGGTTTTCTTCTCTATGCCTCGGCCTGTAAAAATCCTTTTCTTCTTTCTTCAAAAATCAGTTAATTGAGCAGAGTATGATAAAGGAGTATTACACCAAACCCAAACTGGTGTCTTGCTGTAAATTGAGTGGCTGACCCCTTCTGAACATCTCCAAAAGTGAATGTATAATGTGATGCTAGTCAAGTTTAAAGGATTAACTGTGTGAATGTCTCTTCATCTCTTGCTGCTGTGATGCAGGTTGGTGACAAATTAAAGAAAAAACCTGAATAAAGTGTGTCTCGTCCAGGATGACAGGGCACAAGAGATCACTGAAACGCTTATTGAGAACAAAACTTATGTGAATCATATGCTGTGGCCTTTGCAACCACCAGTTGAGCATCTATGGGAGATTATGTATTGACGTATTAGACAGCATTGCCCCCACCATCATTAAACACCAAATGAGGGGACATCTTTGGAAGAATGGTGTTCATCCCTTCAGTAGAGTTCAGAGAGCTGTAGAAGCATTGCCAAGGCACACTGGCACTGTTCTGGTGGCACGTGGTGGCCCTAAGACTAAGACACTTTGTTTTTCCTTTAGTTGGTCTCCCATCTATTTATAGGTATTCATTTAGCTTAACCAGGTTGATGTGAAAATTGTCAAGGTTCCTATGAGGACACACTGAAATTCTGCAGCAAGCTTTCCAATTTGGCAAGTTTAGAATCATGATTTACTGACCTGTTTATGAAAATCAGGACATGCTGGTTATCTCTCAACATGCCCTGTGGGCAGAGCTCAGGTTTTGTC